CAAGTGAAACTTTTCTTTTGGAGGAGGGAAAGAATGTGTGATTTTCAGTTGACTCTTCAGATAACAGGGAAGCTTCAGGAGCCTAATTAAACCACATATTTGCTCTAACTACTTTAGCTGGAGACTGCTAGGAAACAAAAGCAGCAAACAGATCTGATCTACATGCAGCAATCAGGCATTTGACCATTGCTTTCTCCAGCAGAGGTTTTGAGTAGCACAGAAGTGAAAAATCTGAGAAGCAAACCCATCATCTGCAAATGGTGCTACAGCCACAAATCACAGGGCAGCTCTTATTCCTGCATAGCATAGAAAGCATCATTCATTGTACATGATTTTTATTTATGCCCAAACACAGAAAAAACGACTATTATTACAAGCATCATTTTTGAATATTGAGTGGCACCATATTTTGATCAGCATAATTGGACGTTAGCTCACAAAGATTATAGAGTTAATACTTAAAGGATAATTTATACATTGAGCAAGAATAATAGCTCTTTTATACTGGTTACTTTTCCTCGTAGGTTTATTCTCTTGAATAATGTCATCCATATTTAATGCAACAGTTCAATTTTTCAGCTAAGTAAATCCACATTTCAATTATCCATTTTGATTTTAGTATAAGTTGAATTTAGATACTAATGATACTGTGGATAAGGGAAGGAGCAGATGAGTCTTTATTATCACTGACTAGTCAATTCAGTCAAACAATTGCTTTCTTAAAACAAGATTCAGAGGAAATTCCTTTTAAAGGCATAAAACCCCATAAAAGGCATATTTCTTCATTAAGTGGAATCTCTTTTAACAGTATCATGGCTGTTTATCCATTTACCTTAGTTTCCAGATGTAAAATAACAGCTGCAATGCTTGTAAGTTTTTTTTTTCTCCTCAGCTAAATTGGCAAACTAAGATAAAAAATATTGTAGGTTTTATTACTTTTCATTTGTTGTTTTAAAAATCTGTATTTCAGACTTTTGGTTCAGAATCCAAATTTACAGGCATTATAATGGAATATGTAAGGCAACTGTAGCATTTTGGCGTACTGTATCCTCAAAATAAAAACAAAAAATTAAGAGACAGACTCTATAACCAAAGAAGAGAACTCATATTAAAGCAACCATCTGGTGAGTTCTGGACAAACACAAAGTCTCCATTTTTTGCCTGAACCATTGAGATTTCTGTACCACCCCTCTGCTTTATTTTGCCTATTGAAACCTGACCTAAACTAAACAAATATTCTGTATCATTAAGTTGTCCAGGAAGATGAAAGTTTAAATACATATCAGACAAGCTGCAGCATCTGGTGAATTCAGTAACAATGGTCTCTTTTAAGAACTTCAGTGTTGGAATAACTTTAGGACTAAGAAAATTTGCTTGACCTATGGGGAAAAATAATGTTCTTCTAGTCAGATGTTATTCCTGTTCACCAGTACTAACACTTACCAAATCTTCTCCTATTTTCAGACACTCATAAAATAAAACCCCTTTATGAAATAGCTCACTATATCTCTAATTCTACTTTGCTGTAGCCCAATAATATACTTTGGCTTCATAGTGATCAGCAAGTTAATCTTTCACTGTGATTGTTCAAAAATTATTTCCACACTTTTTAAACACATTGATTACTCCTAGGTTTCCCCCCTACAGAATAGCACCATACAGTATTTTTTAACAGTAATATGTAACTAGTTTAGATGCTCTCTTATAGTTTGTTGATGTGAAAACAAAGTTAGCTTTCTCTTTAAGCATATGAACTTAGATATATGAGATCTTTAAAAATATTAGAAGAGCTCACGATATTCATGTGTATTTGCAGCTCCCTTTTAAACTGTGCTACAAACCACACTAAACCAAATTTACACATCTTCAAAAATAGAAGAGAATCATTTTTAAATGTGAGTTTAAAAAATTAGTAGGTGGGAAGAAGCTTGTAACAAATATGAAAAAGTTTTAATATTTTCATTGTAAAAACAAATCACAAATATAAGAACAAAAAAAACCTACTAGGAATCCAATAAATAGGGCAAATGACATAAAAGATACTTCATATAAGACATTACATTGTCAGTAAATATACATACAAACATTTTATCTTACTAGAAAACAAAAATGTATGCTAAAAGAACAGTGGAAAAACATGTCACTCATTAGATCAGTAATATTTTTAGAATAAAAATGTCCAATGCTGGCAATCAGTTTGGTGACAGGGAAAACTGATGTAATATTTCTGAAAAATAATGTTCTAAATGTTCATACATTTTAACCCAGTAATTCCAGTCCACCCCCAACGGAATAATTTAAACATACTTTAAAAGCCACAGGTACAAGATATTTGTTGCAGTATTATTTGTAATACTGAAAAACTTTGAAAACAACCTAAATGCCCCCAAAGCAAAATGATAATTAAGTACATTAATATGCCTTAGAACTGACAAGATATAATACTACGACTGTGTGGGATATTATACTGCATTTTAAATGATGTTTAGGCTGATTCATAATGCTATCATGTAGTGTTAAGTGAAAAGAACAGGATGCAAAATTATATACATCAAAAGCCTACTGTTCTATGTAAAAACTCTATATACATAGGAGAAATAAAGAAACATAGGGATTTTTAAATCTCTTTGATACTTTCCAAATTTTATTTAACATGCATTTAATGTTTTAAATATATTTTAAAATGCCATGTTACTACTCAAAGCACTTTTCAATGCATTGCCTTGTTTTCACATTTCTATCTAAAGCAAAATCTTGGGCTTGGAAATACAGAAAACATCATAACACCTATTGTATAAAACTCAAATGAGAGTATTCATTATCATTTTGGTTATAAGTATAGTGAATCTTGAAAATATATGACAAGGCAGCTGAAATGTAGTATGGTTCATCCACACCCCTTCTACCTCCGGGTACTGGGGCTCTTTCAGTAACCACCTTTGCTTCTAGTACCTGTGAATATACTATATTTATAAGTCACTGGCAGCAAAGGAAATGGTAATGATTGTTTCTAATGTTTTGAGGACAATCAAAACCAATTTTCCCCTCCAAATCAGAGCATTAAAAAGGTGCCATCTTTTCAAATGTTTATGTCGTTTCTAAAAGAATGAATTCTTATGAGAGCAAGAGATGGTGTCTATTTTCATTATGTATATACATAGCCTGGTTTACTGTTAGACTATAAATAAGACCCTTGGCCATACTATCCTAGAGCAAGGGTGAATTGACATTACATTGTTTTGGAAAGAAATACCATGTTTTTCCACAAATCACTCATGCCAAATGTGGTCACTCCGTTGAGACTTTAATGTAATCTCAACCCATCTTCACCCTTAAGAGTCTGAAACCTTATTCAAAGACAGAGAGACAGGAGAGGGGGAGAGAGGAAGAGAGGGAGAGAGAGAGAGAGAGGGAGAGAGGGAGAGAGAGGGAGAGAGGGAGAGAGAGACTTCAGGAGGTTGCACTTACACTCTAGCAGTTTTTGCAGAAACAAGGAAGGCGGTAGCTCTTATTTTTGTGATGTCAACTTGTACAGTAAAATGCAGTAAAGACCTTCTTTTCTTGACGCGAGGGATGTGAAATATATTCTAGGATGTGTATTCGGTAGGGTCCTTTGTTCTAGGGAAGAGCTTTCTTTTTCTAAAGTTTTTTGGTCTCATTCGAAGAAAGAGAAACTTAATATTTTGAGATTCTTTTAAAGGCATCTTTCAAAGCACCCCCCCCCCACACACACACACATAAAGATCAAGACAGCTCAACACTTGCGTATTAAGAATCCAGTCTGATTTTTTTCAACATGGCTGTATACTTCGCAGGCCCCCAAATTTGTGCTTTCATAGTCATTATCAAATAATCAGCAACACCATCTCTAATGAACCTGTATTTCGTGGGCTAGAAATGCGCTCTGTTTAAAGATCGTGTTCATTTTGAAGGCATCGCTGCTATTCGAGTGTCCTATTCGTGTCAGAGATGGAGCAGACTCTGGAGCTCCTGCAGCACGGTGGGCGGCAAGTCTGAGCGCCCTGGTGGCTGACACGTTTTCAGGGGTTGTGGACACTTTCTCCTGAGAAGTAGGGCCGGCCGCGTGCAGCGGGAGGAAATGGACCAGACTGTGATAGGAATAGAGAATGTATGTGAGCGACAGGAAGAAAGAGAGAGGGCGCCCGACTCGGTCCCCAAGTCACTGTGGCTCTGGGATTTGCACGAATTTATCACCACCATTAACAGCTACTTGCAGAGGGTTGTTTACCGCCTGAGCGCGAGACAACCAGACAGCAAAGCCCACTTTGGGACCACAGCCACGCCCCCTAGCCCTTCAGCTCCCCTCCCTTCCCCCAAACTAATGAATTCAGGGCCGCCTTCCTGTCGGACCCTCCCATTGGCTCCTATCCCAACCAATCAGAGTCTTGCAACAGTTTCACCTGGCTCCCGCTTCCCAAATAAACAAACAAACCGTCCCGCAACAGTGCCAGCTCTGCTCCCTGGCGCCTCTGGCGTTCCTCCCCCTGCTACCACTTCTTGCCCCCTCCAGCCAATAAAGCCCTAACTGTGGCGCCCACACCCAGCCCTGATAGCTAGCCGCTCTCTCCTCCACCCCCCTGGCCTCCTCCCGCCTCCTCCTGTCTTTTTGGGCTCCCCTTTAGGACCAATGTGGCCAAAGAACCCCGCCTCCTCCTATGGGTCCTCCGGTGGCCCACAGGTCCTAAGATTCACCCAGGGGGTCTTGGCCCAGCTGGAGGTGGACCCGCCTCCTGGGCTCAATGCCCCCTCCCTTGCACATCTCTACTGGTGGCCGCTTGCGCCCCTCCACTGCGCCGGTAGCTGGATCCGCAGCGGCCGCCGCGTGAGGCGGCAGTCACGTGTTGTTTTGCCCGCTGCCGCGCGCCCAGAGTGAAGTGGGCGGGGGCGCGGGCCAAGGCGGGAGGGGGCTGGGGCGGGCCGATGGGGGTAGACGGCCTCTTCCACCAACCCTCCCTTCCCCGAGTGCCCCCTCCCCCTTTCCGCTCACCTTAAAACCATCGTGCATCACCATGGCGAGTAGCTCCTTCGCTCGCGACCAAGCTACAAGGAGACTGAGAGCTGCAGCAGCGGCAGCGGCGGCAGCTCTAGCAGCGGTGACCACCACCCCGCTTCTTTCTTCGGGAACCCCGACCGCACTCATTGGGACCGGGTCGTCTTGTCCGGGAGCCATGTGGCTCTCCACGGCCACTGGCTCCCGGTCAGACTCCGAGTCTGAAGAGGAGGACCTCCCCGTCGGGGACGAAGTCTGCAAACGCGGCTACCTGCGGAAACAGAAGCATGGGCATAGGCGTTACTTCGTGCTCAAACTCGAGACCGCTGACGCCCCAGCTCGGCTAGAATACTACGAAAATGCCAGGAAGTTCCGGCACAGTGTCCGTGCTGCGGCGGCTGCAGCAGCGGCTGCCGCCTCTGGTGCAGCGGTCCCCGCGCTCATCCCTCCGCGGCGCGTTATCACCCTATACCAGTGCTTCTCCGTGAGCCAGCGAGCTGATGCAAGGTACCGACACCTCATTGCCCTTTTCACGCAGGACGAGTACTTCGCTATGGTGGCCGAGAACGAGTCGGAGCAAGAAAGCTGGTACTTGCTGCTCAGCCGCCTCATCCTCGAGAGCAAGCGCCGCCGCTGCGGCACGCTGGGCGCACAGCCGGACGGAGAGCCGGCCGCGCTAGCGGCGGCAGCGGCGGCGGAGCCACCCTTCTACAAAGATGTGTGGCAGGTAGTAGTCAAACCCAGGGGGCTGGGGCATAGAAAAGAGCTGAGCGGCGTGTTCCGGCTGTGTCTTACCGACGAGGAGGTTGTGTTTGTGAGGCTGAACACCGAAGTGGCCAGCGTGGTCGTCCAGCTCCTGAGCATCCGTCGCTGCGGTCACTCAGAGCAGTACTTCTTCTTAGAAGTCGGCAGGTCCACCGTTATCGGTCCAGGGGAGTTGTGGATGCAGGTTGATGATTGTGTAGTGGCACAAAACATGCATGAGCTGTTTTTGGAGAAAATGAGGGCCTTGTGTGCAGATGAATACCGAGCCCGCTGCCGCAGCTACAGCATCAGTATTGGCGCCCACCTGTTAACCCTGCTGTCCGCTAGGAGGCACCTGGGCTTGCTGCCGCTCGAGCCCGGCGGCTGGCTCCGAAGGTCCCGCTTTGAGCAGTTTTGCCACCTTAGGTCCATTGGTGATGGAGAAGATGAGATGCTTTTCACCAGGCGCTACATAACACCCAGCGAGCCTCTGCATCCCTCCAGGCAAGGAAGGCTGCACCTGCCCAGAGGGCGCAGGTCTAGGAGAGCGGTTTCAGTGCCAGCCAGCTTTTTACGCCGCTTAGCGCCCAGCCCGGTACGTGCCCCTCACCCTGAAGAAGACCCCAATAACAGAGCTTGTGAAGCCTCTGGCTCCGACTCTGGCAACTCTGGGAGAAAAGGGAAAGAGGTCAAAGAGAGTCAGGAAGGAAGCGAAGGCGACTACATGCCCATGAACAACTGGGGTTCAGGAAATGGCCGGGGCTCAGGAGGTGGCCAGGGCTCAAGTGGCCAAGGCTCCAGTAGCCAGAGCTCAAGAGGAAACCAGTGCTCAGGTGGGAGGCAGGGATCTGGAGGTGGCCAGGGCTCAAGTGGCGGCCAGGGCTCAGGAGGCCAGAGTGGTGGAGGAAACCAGTGTTCAGGAGATGGTCAGGGCACCTCAGGTGGTCATGGTTCAGGTGGTGGCCAGAGACCTGGAGGCGGGCCTGGCTCAGGTGGTGGCCAGGGACCGGGAGATGGCCATGGCACAGGTGGTGGCAAGAACTCTGGAGGCGGCAAAGGCTCAGGAAGTGGGAAAAGCTCAGATGGTGATGGTGACCATGGAAAATCTCTGAAGAAAAGATCCTACTTTGGCAAATTAACTCAAAGCAAGCAACAGCAAATTCCGCCCCCACCCCCACCCCCACCCCCACCTCCACCAGCCGGAACAACTAGTGGAAAAGGGAAGTCTGGGGGAAGATTCCGCCTTTATTTTTGTGCTGACAGAGGAGCCACAAAAGAACGCAAAGAAGCCAAAGAGGTGAGAGACACAGAGACTTTAGAAGGTGCAGCTCGTGGTCCCCACAGAGCCAGAGCTTTTGATGAAGATGAAGATGACCCATATGTGCCAATGAGGCCAGGGGTGGCTGCCCCTCTTGCAAGCTCCAGTGATTATATGCCAATGGCTCCTCAAAATGTCTCTGCTTCAAAAAAGCGCCACTCTCAATCACCTTTTGAAGATTCAAGAGGATACATGATGATGTTTCCTAGAGTGAGCCCACCACCTGCCCCTAGTCCTCCCAAAGCACCTGATCCTAACAAAGAGGATGACTCAAAGGACAATGACAGTGACAGTGACTACATGTTTATGGCGCCTGGCGCTGGTGCAATTCCAAAAAACCCCAGAAATCCTCAGGGTGGCTCTTCATCCAAAAGTTGGAGCTCCTACTTCTCTCTGCCAAATCCTTTTCAGAGCTCACCCTTGGGACAGAGTGACCACAGTGAGTATGTACCAATGTTACCTGGAAAGTTCCTGGGGAGGGGCCTTGACAAGGAAGCCTCATCTAACTGGGGCCCCAAAGATGCACCTGCAAAGCCTTCAGCTGAGGGGTCATTCTCAAAGCCTAGAGGTGGGGAGTCACCTTCAAAGCCTTTAGATGATGGCCCCCCAAAGGAGAAGGCTAAGAGACCTAACCGGCTCTCTTTCATGATAAAAGGAAATAAAATCAAGCCCAAACCACAAAAGCCCACACAGGAGCAGAGAGAAGCTGACAGCTCTAGTGACAACGTCAACATTGACATCACTAAAAGAGATAGCAATATGTCAGTCCCCTGTGCTCAAGGACTGCCAGATTCATGGGGCATAATTGCCAACCCCAGACGGCCAGCCTTTTCTAATTATGTGAATATTGAATTCGGAGTGCCATTTCCAAATCCAGCAAGCCGCCTCTCAGATCTCTTAAGAGCTATACCAGGTGCCAACCCCCTATCTCTGGATGGTGCTAGGTGGCCACTTCGTCCTCTTCCTCCCAATGCTACAGGTAGCAATGCTAATGTGCCAGAGGGCGAATACATTGAAGTGATTTTCAACCCAGCAATGACACCAGCCGTGCCTTTTGCTGACAGAGCCATTCGCTATGATGCTGAAACAGGTCGAATCTACGTGGTCGACCCATTTTCTGAGTGCTGTATGGACGTTTCTCTCTCTCCTAGCCGATCCTCTGAACCACCACCTGTAGCTAGGCTGCTGCAGGAGGAGGAGGAGCAAGGGAGAAGACGTTCACAAAGCCCTACGCCAAGTTTCTTTGCAGCCGCAAGGGCCATTGTCTCGGCCTTCCCGACTGACAGCTTCGAGAGAGACCTTAATGCTGCCCCCTCCTTGGCTGCTGCTCCCGCAGCGGCGCCAACCTTAGCCGTGGGCCGCGCGTTAGCCGCGGCCTCCGCGCTAGCTGCGGTCCCGGGCATCGGCGCAGCCGCCGCGGGCTTAGAGGCCGCCGCTGGATTTGACTCCGCCTCCACCCGCTGGTTCCAACCTGTTGCTAATGCTGCTGCTGCGGAGCCGGTGAGGGGGGCCCAGGACATTGCTGAAGGCGCGAATCCGGGAGTCCCGGACCCAGCAGCCGACCTTGCCGGAGGTATGAACGCGGCGGGCGGGGCCGCTTCCGCAGCTGCAGCTGCTGCTCCCCTACCACCACCTTGCCATCGCCTGGGGCCGAGACCCCCGGAGAGAGAAGATTCTGAGGATGAGGATGAGGATGACACTTACGTGAGAATGGACTTTGCCAGACCTGACAACAAGAAGTTCCACTCTCCAAAAAGAGGTTGGTAATTTTATAATTAATTCCCATAAAGTTAATGGTCATTGCTTAATGAGTGAGCTGAAGCGCTACCATCTACAGCCTTAAGGATAAGGGAGGTAGCATTTCATTATTGGTGCTATTTAACATGGTGGGTAGAATTCAGTTTTAAATTTTCACACGAAATCATTTTGATCTTTGTAAAACCTTAAGCTTTCATCTAATCCTAAATTTAGACAAAGCGGGTTATCATTGAAACATTAATTCTACTTTTTAGAATTAGTTAAAATTCAAGGTCAAGAGGATGCTTTTAAACATCCTCCATTTCTAAATGATAAGACAAAGCAGGACATGGTAAATTGAGTGCCACCAACCCATCACCTCATTTTCAAGTCAACAACTAAAAGATGCTTTTCCGCAAATGCCTATATTTAAGTGCAGGAATTAAATAAGCGCACAGGATATTAAGCAGTAACAATCAAGTATTGATGATACTTTTTGAAATGCAGTCATTGTTTTGCTGATTTGCTGTGATTGACCAAAAAGGCTAAATCTCATTTGTTAGCATGAATGAAAGGGGGAACGGGTAACAACAATAATTAATCCAAAACAGGAGATGATTAAAAGGAGATAGTATTTGGCTCTGGAATATGTTTTTGTGTTGATCTTTTTTTGCTTTGTTTTTACACAGGATAAATTGTGAGAAACCCTGTCTCTTTTCTCTGTCACTGGTAGGGACGGGCAAGTCATCTTTGCTGTGCTTCATTTTCTTCTTTTAACCTGCCACCCTTTCAGAAGAGGGTGTGGTGACAACTTGATAATGGATAGGAATATTGTTTCAAAGGTTTAAAAGGCATTTAAAACATCTAATTTGTGCGTCTTCTGGGAAATCAAGGAAAGCAAGATAACTAGGCTGAAGTAAAAGCTGACCCCAGGGGCAGCCTACCCTGGAACAGTGGGAGGTTTTTAAAGGGCTAATTTTCCAAAGAAGTAAGAGTAGGATCTGTTGCTCTTAGAAACAAAACTTGGAGTAAATCTACTATGTACAACTTGCACAAAGTTGTTTTGAGACGTTTTCAAGGAATGGTTGCAAAAAAAGAGGCTGTCCTCATAGTCACCACTGCCTTCTGTCTTTAGTAAAACATGCTTCTTTTCCAGTGAAGGGAAGGGATGGACCCCAGCAGCTTTCATTCCAGTAGTCAGTTAGTGAAGATTTTTGCTTTGCTTGCTTTGTGGAATGCTTTTGTGATTGGATCTCTGCCTACTGTGCTTGATCAGGCAGAACAAGTCCAGGACTGATCACAACAGTCACCTAACAAGCTCCCTATTTAGTGCAGGTGTAGCCCCCCCCCCACCTCCCCTTTCTCCCCATGCTATAGAAAACTTGCCATACAAAAACTCACATTTGCAGCACAGACACACTAAAAGAGTGATCATTAAAACGACAAAAGGATGCTTTGGCTTGCCAAAGAATTAGATTCAGTCCTTTAAATTGTAAGCCTCCTTCCCAGCACACACACACACACACACACACACACACACACACAATAGCACCACTACTCCATTTAAAATTTATAATTCCATTTCTAAGAAATTAATTCATAATCAGCTTTCAGAAACCAGTCTATTTCATTTGGTAAAGTGCACCTGAAAATTGATTTCAAGCTATTGTTGGAGCCTAACTGCTGAAGACAAGGTTTACAACTTTGATGTAAAATGCACATCAAAATAGTCATACATCAAAATAGCTGCTTATGTCCCTATGGTACTTTGAAAGGGATGAGTTTTCATGCGGGTTTGCCTATACTTTCCAATAATCTTTGTTTAGGTAAAAATTAAAAATAGTGAAATCTGATCGTTCTTCAAATAAACCTTGCCTTCACAAAGACTACTGAGATCCAATGATCATTGTAATAGTAACTACTTTGGAGATCTGACATTTTCTAAATGTATTGTATATTGAGGGGATTCCTAACTTTATTGAGTGACTACAGCAAGGAGGCAGTATCTCACAGGAAGGCAGGCACTTAAATTAAAGAGATTGAATGTGGTAGCAATTTGGGAGGTTAAAGCACTTTATAAATGGAAGATATTTTTTATTGTGTCATTGTATTAGCAGTGAAGTTATGTTTCGGCCATTTAAATTTAGGATTAAGTTTTTGAAAAATGCCTGGTGTTGAGGGTGATTCTTGCACATTATTTGCTGATATATAGAGAAGGAATGGGGGTGTGTGAATGGGGTGGGGGTATGGTAAAATACCCATTGCAGGAAATGCCTTTGGTTAGCATTTTAACGTGAATTGATATAGTGGAGTGATGTCTTCAAGTGTTTTGAACAGGCTGAATGAATCTGATCATTTCTTAGTATAAAGTTGTAGAATACCTTTTGCCTATTTCTTTTCTCTCTTCATTTTCTTATTTAATATTTAAAAAATAAAAAGACCTTGTTAGGAAACAAAAAAGTGCCCTGATAGAGAAGCAAGTCATACATAGTGTTAGGAGTTATGTGTTTCAAAAGTATTTTTGATTTTATGGAAAGTGCTTAGAACAATACCTGGAACATAGTAAGTGCTACACATGAATTATTATGTAGTTATTATCAGTGTTGTTGTTACTCTTATTACATTTAGAAATACAAAGCAAAATTAAAATTCTCTGATCACAAATTTCTTTTTTCAGTTAGTCTTATTTAAAATACTCCATGGAGTTTTTCATAGTCAGGCTCTTCACAGTTGAGAGCTGATTATCAATGAGACTGCTTTTTTCATGAAACACAATTAATAATCTCACTTATCTACAGTCACTCTGCATATGAGAAAGTACTTTAAGGGCATTTGTTCAAGTCAGAAAGAAACACTCAGAAATATAACTTGGATATTACTTTTTTAAAAAATAAGTGAAATCTTTTAAAGCATTTGTTGAAGATGAAGTGTTCACATTTTGGATTGTAGTATATGTTAGCATTTAAGAGGAAAATGTAGTTTCTTGTGTGGTTTAGTCTGACTCCTAATCAATGTATGACCCTTTGCTTCTATTACTACTTTACCTGATACAGAAGCGATAGGTTGAAATAACTTGAGGTGAAAAATTCCCTAGTTTTTCATTTAAGAGATAGGAAAATGGAAAGGACAGCTCTAGAAGGTATGAGATAATGGGTCAGCCATTAGTTATTTTATGATAGTATCTGGTATTTAAAAGCAAAAATAATTAACTTCTGAAATTTTATGCACTGCTATCACCTATAGGATGCCCAAATTTCTTTTGAATGTATATATCCCTGCCAAATCTCATTGCCATAAATTATAGAAGTAGGAGCAAATTATTTTTATTGTATTTAACTTATTTATTACAAATTGCTAGAATAAAACCTGGATATAGCGGAGATTTCTCAGCCACCATTGATGGGTCACTTATTTTAGGCAACATTCAACAGCCTCTCCCCACAATTTGGAAAGTTGTTTGGAGTAATGAGGTATTTGACCTACAATAATTAAATAGGACCTCGCTCAATTAAAGTTAGCTAAAGTTGTTGGCAATCATGATTCATTTGCATTCATTCTATTTTAAGAGAGAAGCTTCCAGGATAAAACTCTCAGACACTAGCAAAACATCTCCATCAAACAAGGACCAGGGCTTTAATTAAGCACGCCAGAATATCACACACGCATAAAAGCTCAAACAGGATCTCTTGCTTTCTTTTCCTGTCCCTAATCACCAAACATGAACCAAAATACTTCCGAGTCATTGGCAGGGAGCTAGTTGTTTTGGGAACTAACTCAGGCTTCCAAAAAACTTCATGTTGAAACAGATGTGCCTGGCCAGTGTAGGAAGAAGTAAGGAGTACTGTGTGTGATTTGAAATGGACTGTTGTTAAACTGTCAATTTGTTGTTGATTGAGGGAATGCTTTCCAGTTGCAGATTGCCTTATAGTTTCCAAAGCACATTCACATTCATTATTTTACTGATGAACGGTAAGTACTGGAAATGAAGCCGGTGTTAAGAATTTTCCTGTGGTCAAAAAGGTAAGTGGCAAAGCTGCAAATTTAAATCATACATCCGATTTCAAATCCAATGCCCCACCTAGAACAGCACAATTCCCTTTTCAATCAGGTGTTCAATCAGTTATTTTCTTATCAATGAAAGATTGTCATATAGGCAAGGACTGGGAAAATTTATATGTTTGCTTGAATTTGATAGTAGCAAATTTTGTTGTAACTCATTTGGAGTGTTTTAACTGTGGACCATTTGCCAGGGTTTGGGTAATTTTCATTACATTGAACTGTTTGCCAGGGCCTTAGAATAAAAGAATTTGACCTGGGCTGGAAGTGAATATTTTAAATTTGATCTGGGGAGGAGCTAGCTAATCTTTACCTCCCAAGCACAAATAATGTGTGTATCTATTTAGTCCCTACAGAAACATTGAAAGCAATGAAAGTGAATTAAGGGTGTATTCAGTAAATGTCCATTAATAAATGGTCATTTCCTTAACTGAAATTAGATTTTTATGATTTTCCTAATAATCCAGTGACATCTACCAGCTATATCAAAAAGTCTTTTTATTTAATTTCTTTCTGTATAAAATATGATATTTTAATCTAAATTACCACAGTGGGCAAACAGGATAAAGTACGGTAGGTAGAAGAAAACATGATGTAGAAATAGATGTTCATTTGTTTAAAAAGTAAACTTACTTTTGGCAGTCAGGCAAGTAGATTTTAGAAGCCTTGAAAATCAAATCCTCTCCTGAGGACATAAAAATCCTTGTTTAAAATTAAGTTCATTTTGTTTAGCACCTTTTTAAGTCTTTAAGACTATGTAAAAATAGCCCAGACATTTTATTGGCAGTATTGGAAAATAGCTTTTGTAAAATGCTTAATTAAAGTCTGCAGTATGTTTTGTCTAAGAGGTGCTCCCGGCTCTTAGGTGTTGAGGATCATTTACTGGAAAACATTGCTTGGTCCTGAGTGAGAAATGTGAGATTAAAAAAAAAAAAAAACCTAAAACTTTTTAAGGGCTAGAAGGTAACTCAGTGGTAGAGCACTTGCCTAGCATGCACAAGGACCTGGGATCCATCCCCAAAACAACAACAACAACAAAAAACTACTTTCTAATGAAATGAATACATTACAGCACACTCCATTATTAGCAGAACTATCAGATTTCTAATTTTAAAGTATTTATTATTGTTTATGTAGCTATGGGGCTCACATTTCTGTCCTTTGGGAAAGTAGGCTCAACACTTGAGAAATAGGATTTTTTTTAAGGATCTATATATGTAGATATATGATTTGCATTTTTAGTGGGTAACTTTCAACTTTTACCTAAGGAATTAATTCCTTTTTGAATGAAAAATTTGTGCTTAAATATTTATTTAGTGAGATATGAAAGTTACTGCTATTTTGTCCCCTAGCTTCCTGATACTCCTTCCTTATTAGGATTGCATTGATTGTATTCTGTGAGTTGTGCCCTCATGTGCCCTTTGCCAGACTTGTGCCCTTTTTCTCAGAAAACCATGCCTTTCCTGGTTTCTGAAAGGGTGAGAGGGCCATCCTGGGAGTCCCACGGGGCCCACAGAGGACCTCCCTAGATGTTTTTAGTTCCTAGTTCACAGCCTTCCTGTGCTTAGCTTGCAGGAACAGCCTCCCTTAAAAGGGATCCTTGTACAGTTTCAAGCCTGTGCTGCCTACTGTACTCTGACTTGTTGGCAGAAGCAGCTGTCCTGGTGTTTAAAGCTATTTTCGTGGTTGGATTGACCACAATATGTTTGATGCTAGCCAGATCTTCTGGATTTACTGAATATCCAATTCCCCACAAACTGTAGGCACTTTAGCTAGTTTTCGCAATTTATATAATTTGCCTTTCTCTGATTACTGATTTTCTACTTGTAGACTTGAAACAGAATATCAGTGAAATCTTTACCTTTAATTTCATCTTGAAAATTGCTCGCACGTGCCCCCATGGTGCCCGTGAAAGGGTAACCAGCAAATGTAATTTTAACCCCTGCTTTTTAATAAGTTATTCCTTCACCTTAAAAGCATACTAACCTTGTCCTTAACCTCAGTCTCTCCTTTAAAGGAATTCTTATTGTGGCTGCAGCTCTTCTCAAAGTCTCCCTTCTACTTGTCACCCTGGCTCCAAATATATTTCAGCATTTTGAGTGTAGGGGACACTATTTCTATTTTTACTGTGTATTTCCCTGGAGTCTCAAATTGAAAGTTCCAATACATCTTCTCAGAGAAATGATGATTGGATGTAGTCAAAGTAGTTTCTCTATTAGTTCGGGAACTGCACAGGTTAAATATAGGCATGTGTAGACAAAGCTACCAACTTATTCACCATTTATTTATGACACTGTTCTATGAAATAATTTATTCTGAGTTTCAACTCAACAATGAAGCTTGGAATATGTCTCTTTTGTAAATTGGAGACTGCCTATATTAGAATTCTAGTAACTTGCATTCTTTGAGTCAGCAGTAACTAGGCAGCAGAGTGAAGTGGACCAAGTGTGGGTTGGGAGGTAGTGGAGAGACTGACCTGGGTTGAAAATCCTGTAGCTGACCTCCAGTTTGTATCCAGATCATTGAGACTGGAGTTAACATGTATAGGTGGTCCAGGGCTGCTTAGTGAAGGGCAGGCTTGGAATGATTTAGTTGGCTTTGAGAATATGGAGGTATACAAGTGTCATTATTTTCCCTTACAGATTATTTTGACTATTCTGTCACAACTGTTGCTATTATGGGGAGAAGCATGTTTTATCATCTGATCTAAGATTTTTTATAAAGTTTTAGAGAATTATCCTCCTATACATTCACAGGGCCCCCAAAAGTGTGATGACTATTCTTACTGAAGAGAAAAACACTAATAATCCAAACACAATGTGAAGCTAAATAATAAAATTGCATTATTATATATTCATCTCTAGGGTATACACTTTCATTTCCCTTCACTTCCTTTTGTTTTTCTGCCTTTGACGTTTTACTTGGTTGCCTCTTGCTTATGTGATCACCAGTTGATTGTAGGGATAGCAATGTGGACTAACGGACAGAGTGAGGATTTTCAAAGGAACACAACAAAACATGTTTTAGTTCTAGGAAACCGGGAGTTGAAAAGAGAACTTAGACAAAAAGATTGGAGAGGATGAAAAGAGAATAAGAGAATAACTGAATACATTGTTCCAGTCTCACCTCTGTCTGGGCAGGGGAACTATTGCTGTTTTGGACTTCAAACAGTAATAGAGGCGAGTTTATGATTCATATAAAGAGGTCTGGAACACCCTGGAGGAACTGCCTTCTTGGCTCGCCCTACAAATTTCCAGGGATATTGAAGTCATATGTGCTTTATTAGTATATTAAAGGTTAATGTTAAGGTTTATATCATTATAGAAGTTGAAACAGAAAAGTTTACCTCTTTCATTTTTGAGAAGAAAATGATACCTGCTGGATTTGGAGGAAGTAGGAGGGAAATATTTTAACTCATCAGAGTCTATTAAGTTTTCCTCTCTTATAGAGAGAAATTACTTCAAGACCTTGCCACCTATTAAAAAGGTATGGAATTAACTTAAAAGATCTTTGATTAATTGGAAAATAAGAATATTCAACAAGGTAATTTTTTATAACCTGTCAGTATCAAATAGGAATAATACCTCAAAAACAGACCACATTATTTAAAGCATGGCCATTTACTCTTCTCATGGTGAAATGATATAAAAATGAACTGGAGGGGGCTGGGGATGTGGCTCAAGCGGTATCGCGCTCGCCTGGCATGCGAGCGGCCTGGGTTCGATCCTCAGCACCACATACAAACAAAGATGTTGTGTCCGCTGAGAACTAAAAAATAAATATTAAAAAATTCTCTCTCTCTCTCTCTCTCTCTCTCTCTCTCTCTCTCTCTCTCCCTCTCCTTAAAAAGAAAAAAAAAAACAATACTTAAAAAAAAAAATGAACGGGAGACAGTATTCATTCTGTAGACTGTTTATGATTTGGGTTTAATCCCGAATTGCTTTCTTTTGCCACCCAGGAAGCATCCAAGTCGCTTCCTTTTGCTGTTCTTTGGAATATGCTCAGGGAATGTAAACTAATTTTAATATTGGCCTAAGTAAAACAGGATTATAAAGGCAAATCCGAAGCTCAAATTCCCACAATGCATTTCAGAAGCAAGTTAAATTATTTGGGGATTATCCTGTTTTGGAAAGCATTATTCCTTTCTACTAGGATAGTTAATCAAGAATCAACAAACATATTTTGTAAACTTGAAATTACACAATTATGTGCCAGGTCTCAGTAAGGTATCAAGCATTCACCCAACACTGGTGTAGGTGTTATAGGAAAGCAATGTAAATATAAGTCAAATTTACAGAAGAGGACTGGGGTTGTAACTCAGTGGTAGAGTGCTTGCCTAGCACATGTGAGGCACTGGGTTCGATCCTCAGCACTACATAAAAATGAATAAATAAAATAAAATAAAGGTATTGTCTCAATCTATAACTAAAAATATATATTTTTTTAATTTTATATAGTAGAGCCTCTAATTTAGAGTAAGGAAAGAAGAAAGAAAAACTACTCCAATAGCAACAAATGCCCCATATTTCAGGCTTAATATAATGCCAATGACATAGTTTTTGGAGCTTAATTTGTATTTCATATTAAATCCTCTATCATAGAAGAGAGTAAGAAAGCCCCCTTAAAGCACATTCAGTGTGGTATGTATGAACATAGGAAGATTTTTTTTAAAGTAAATAATGTTGTTTCTTTTTTTTTCACCTTTATTATTTATTTATATGTGGTGCTGAGAATCAAACCTGGTGCCTTACATATGCCAGGCAAGCATTCTACCACTAAGCCACAACCCCAACCCAGGAAGATATTGTTATATTAAAACAAAACAGTAAATTAAATTAGGTGAGACACCTTTCTAACCTCAACATTAGGTAAAAAAAACCCCACATTTCTGATATCTGAAAAAATTCCATGATACTAGTATGGCCTAATTTTATGCTAAATAAAGGACTGCATTGCTAACAAGCACTCACAGTTAACCTATGGCTGTCACAGGCACATTTCATCCTGTGTAAACAAGATAAGTAGAATCTAAAATATCCTAGAAAAAATACTCATTTTTTTTTCCTTTTTAATATGAGAAGAGGATCCATACAATGAATTGAGACCAGTAGCCCCAGTAGGTAGGAGGGGAATGGAGACCTGAATACTTCATATAGCTGCAAAGTTTGTTACATTCATCAAAACATCTGATGAAAAAATGAATAAAGTGTATAATTCCAGTTTAATTCAAAATATTGTAATTGAAGCCTACTCTGGAGGGTGCTTCTTATGGATTCTTTAAGTTGTCTCAAATGCATTAGAATAATTGGTACTTTGATGTGACTCAGTCTTCAAGTAACACTGGTATCCCATGTCCAATGAGCAAAAAGCCAAGAGAGTAACACTGTAACCTCTTTTTATTAGACAGATGGAAATTTCAATCAAATCTCCTTTACAGGTCTGATTTTGTTCTTTTAGAAGAAATTCTGTGTTTGGGTCATGAGACTATCACCATGGCTGTGCTTAACTCCTTTGATTGGTGCCACATAACCTGGTGAAGGCATAATCAAGCATATAGGAGAAGGGAAACATTCTCTTTATCTGCCTGATGCCTTGGTCACTTGTGGGTGCTACTATGCACCAGAAATGTCATAGGGGTAGCCTGGGGGCAAAAGGAGTAAATGCTCTGTGTCTTTGCCCAGCTTGTGCTAGTACCTCACAGGCAGCCAGCAGAGTTGATTAACCATGTCGATGCCAAGGAAATCTCAAAAAGGTCTCACAAATTTCTAGTTAGATTTTGTTTTGTTTTGTTTTGTCTTAGAACCTGGTGGGGGTAAAAGCTCTTTGTACTAATCTTGAAAATAATTTTTCTTTTATCATCTTTTTTTGTAGAGTGACTACATTACCACAGAAACACATTAGAAGAAAAGTGACACTTAAGGATTTCCATCTTTGTCTACTCCAGATCTGCCTATAAGAAAGGAAATTCAGAGGCTTCTGAATAGAAAGCAACATAAATTTCTAGAATCCTACATGTGGACTCTGGCAGTTGAATGATCCTACACAGAGATCATCTTTACTACTGCCTTCTGGATCCATTGATTTTGAGTTAAGAATATTCACACTATGCTTTGTTTTTTGTTGTCTAGTTTCCCTCCATGATCTGTGTCTTTGAAAGGAAATGAATGTTGTAAAAGTTAGCATGTTGTAACTGTTTCCTCTTCTCTTAAAACCATTATTTCCCTGTAAAATGAGCCAATACCAATTTTGATGATGCATAATATGTAGATTAATTTTGAAGGTACAAAACCTTTAAACAAGGGCAGATGAGAAAAGAAGGTAGGTATGATCTGGAATATTCTTTCTCTGAATAGTACATACACAGAACATTTCTTGATCAAGGATTTAAACGACAACTGAACTGATATCTTGATGGGGAATTTTCAATATTTTAAAGGCAGGACTAAAGGACAGATATCTCAGTTTTTGCTCATTAAGAAAACTACAATTATCTGTCCATATTAAATGTCAATGAAACATCTTGAATGAACATTTCCAACATTTTAAAGACAGAACTGAGGAGCAGGTCTAGCTACCTGTTTATATATAACTCGGTGAAGTTCTGTCTGCAAATCAATTAAGCATTTCCAAACCAGTTATTTTTAAATTTTGTTATAAGACCTACATTTTTCTCCCCAAAGAAGCAATGTTCTCCAAAATTTGCTTCTCACAGGCCCCTCTCTACATCCCTGGGCCTTTCTCTCTTCTCTTCTACCCCCCACCCCCACTCTTTTTGGCCCTCTCCCCAACATACACACTCCCTCCTATGCCCAGGACTCCTATAAAGAAATCAGTTTCCCATATTCAAGAAAGTAGTGTGTACTTATCAATTGATATTCTGACTAAACTTAAGCCAAAAGGAACCTCTTATAAGGCCTTGTTTCCTTTGGACAAGGATCTGATATAAGATGTACTAAATTAAAAAAAAAATCAGAGCAAGCTTTCCCCCTCCTATTTTTGCTTGTCTCTGATGGAAACTGAATTAAGATTTTAGGAACCTGGACCTTTGAGAACATGACACCAACAGGTGGTGACCACAGAGGATAGGCACAAAGGTCTTGAAGCTTGCTTAGAGCTTTGTTATGTGGTGGCACACAAATCTTGGCTTGTACCATCACTGGCAAACCTCATCATATCACAGATGGGTGTGAGTGTTTGAGTGTCTTAAGTGTGTGAGTGCTAGTGTGTATGCACATTTGTGTGTATGCATACCTTTGTGTACCTGTGAACATGTGATTATAGATGTACCTGTTGTGTGTAACTCTGTTAAAAAAATTGCTTCGCATTTAATGTGCAACTTTGAAGTAGCGTAATATTTAAAGTGTTTTGCCACTCGGTTTTGATGTCTTTGAACGTGTACTTCTATCTTTGAGCAGGCTTATAGTACATGTTGCTAACTTTTCTTGAATAACCGAGTTGACTTCTATTTTTTTCCCTTGCCTACCAACCAAAGGGATGGGGGGGCTTTTTTTCCCCTTGTGAAGGGTGCTGAGGAGAGGGTGTGGCTACAGGGCCAGTCACTGCTCTAGTTCCTGGTCATTAGTAGTGCATCAGCTTCATCAGTCCCTTCAGACTCCTCTTTTTCAACCTGCTCAAATAACACAGTGTGGCTTTTGTTCATTATGATAACAATGTGCTCTTCAGGCAGCCTCTTTTCAAGCTTTCTGTCACCAATTATATTCAAGTAAGTTCAGGCATTATCATTCAGAATTGTGGGAAGAAAAGTTTTTTTTTTTTTTTTTTTTTTTCCCCAGGGGGAAATGCTATATCATTTATTTACATGTTAGGTTCGGGGGCTGCCAGCAGACAGGGTACTGAGGGTACAGCACAGAGGTAACACTTGCTGAATAAATGAATGGAAACCTCATACACAACAGTACATACAAATAGTCACAGGTACAAATAGTCACAGGTACAGCATAACAAATATGCAATCTTTTTGACACTACTTCTTAGTTTACAGACACAATTAATTTATTCAGTATTGTGCTGGAAGAATCTCTATAGAGTATGTGTACCAACATATCACTTACCTTCCAGCTATCAGTTTATGCTGCTAAGAAAAACCAATGATGGAACGATTTTTTTGTGACCTCTACATTAATTTGGTATCACACATAGTTACTTGGTCAGTAAAAACTAAAACCTTACAGTTCCAACAGCTCATTACATTTGCTATTTCTGCTTCACAGATCTGCTTTGAGTTGCTTTGGCTTTGTCTTCCTTTGTAAATACTCTTATACTCTCTTCTTTGTAAACATCTCATTTGCAGTTTTGGGAGACAACCTTGCGACTCTGTATAGTGTTTATATATATATATCTGACTTGCCTTTCCATAGAGCTACTTGCAATAAATGTGTTCATGTAAGTTATTCATGTGAAGAGTCATCTTTTCTTCTTTTATTTTTTTGTAGTTGTAGATGGACAGTATGATTTTATTTTATTTTATTTGCTTTTTTTTTTGTATGTAGTACTAAGGATCCACCCCAGTGCCTCACACGTGCCAGGCAAGCACTCTGCCACTGAACCCCAGCCCCAGCCCTTATCTTTTCTTAATACTGCTGTTTCTACTCCCCTATAAGATGTTTTCCTGTTCTATGGTATAATTGGCTTCATTTTTCAGAATGAAACAATAGGGGTAATCCAAAGTTTATATTAAAATTACTTTAAAAAAATTTTGCGTAAGTTGTAACTGGACACAATATGTTTATTTATTTATTTTTATGTGGTGTTGAGGATCAAACCCAGCGCCTCACATGTGATAGACAAGTGCTGTATCACTGAGCTACAGCACCAGCCCCTGTTAAAGTTTCTCTGCCTAGAAACATAAGTCAACTAACATATTGAGTCTGCCAGTGTGGAGGTGATAGTAGTGCAGAACAGCTTAGGAAATGACTTACCTGAATTTTCATGTGAATCCTACATTGATGCACCTATACAACTAGGTTGAGGCGATCATTTATAAATTGTCTCCTTCATTGCCACTCAGTAATATCCTTTAAATTACTCCCTTTTCATTTCCTTTTTTCTTTTTGTAGTACTGGGGATTGAACTCAGGGGCCTTCTACCATTGAACTACATAATCACTATTTTTTAAATTTTGGGATAGAGACTAACAAAGTTGCCAAGGCTGGCCTTGAACTTACAATCCTCCTGCCTCAGCCTTCCAAGTAGCTGGGATAACAGGCATTTGCACTTCCAAACATGCCCTTCCTTATTTTTAACCACTGGGAAGAAAAATATAAGTACATGAAAATTAAACCAATGGTAAGACAGCAGTTTTGCATTCTGGAATGTAGAAAAAATGGATTTAATAACAACAATTATTAGCAAATTATGTCACCCTTATTAGAAACCAAAAGTTTAAAGAAATGCTAGAAAAATAATTGCCCCTCTCCCATTTTTTCTTTACCAAGTTATCCTTGCCACATAGAAGAGCAGTGAGAACAAATTTGGGACCAATACCTACCCAAGAATCAGTAGGGGGGGGCGGAGAGGTATCCATGGAAGCATCTGGACAACAAGATAGGAAGGCAGGTCCCAGATCATGTGAAAAATCTATAAGCCACATGAGTTGTGTATATGCAAAGAAGTGAATTGGTTGTGCAGCTTGAGCTTAACTGATACACCTGAGAAGATGTATGGAAAACAATATCACAATGGGAAGTTATAATTAGAATGCCTTTATTATTAGAAACTGTGAATAACATCATTTAGCTTCTGTGTCATTTTATAAATGTATAAACATCTTCATATAATTTTATTAATATACACATATATGCATACATAAACTCTTAGTCCCTACATCATGGGGATAATCTATTTGTTAGAGCATAGCCCAAATGTTTTTATTCATCCCCAACAGACACTTAAAATAATAATAATAATAATAATAATAATAATAATAATAATAATAATAACAAATAAAAATTTAAAAAATATGAATAGGCACTTCCATGCCCATAAGTTCAAGTGATATTTGTATATTCATTTTGGTGTTCATAGGACTTGAATTCCTGGAACAGTAGGCACAGACTAGGTGCTTCAATAATCAATAGAACTCACTAGAAAGAAGGATCTATATCCAAGAATGCATAACCAGAGCTTCCATTTCCTTACTCTCATAGTCTCATACATAGTAACCAATGTTCTCTGCAGAATCTGAAAGGGTCCTGTTTCTTTAAAACATAAAACCTTTCAGAAGACTTGTCAGGTAAAAGATGTCTAAGTATATACTAGTTAAGCACCTCCCAGAGACAGCTTAAAAAATATTACTAGGTGCTAATTGACCCCAAAAGGCATCTTGGAAATGTTCCAAAATGCTTTCTAAAAATGTTTTGAAAACAAAACTGACAAAAGGCCCAACCTGGAAAATGTGTGCATGTGAATTTGTACGGGTAAACCAGATCATGGCCCCTAATTTATAAAATGTGCAAAGGAGAAATTATGCAAAATTAATGCACAGAATTAGGTTGGACTGTATTCTGTTTTAGAAAATCCAATTCATTTTCCCTCCTAGACATGCATGTAAATGGATGCTGGTTTTCAGGCAGCTACCTTAAGTCCCGTTTGCTGCTGAAGTGTACTTCAGAGATAAGAAATGCAACTGAGCTGTACAAAATGAGACAACTTCCCTCCTGTCTCCTGTGCATGATAAATGCTAAAGCAATTAGGAACCACTGTTGCATGGTACATTGGAATTTGTCAGCAACATCAGTGCTGTGCTATGTAAATGGGGAAACTTATTTAGAATAAAGTCCTGAGAATTTAAGAGGAAGCCATTGACTTTACTTAATATTAAACATTTGGGTCCATAGAACTGAATTAGAAGCAATCTACTCCTTAACGTTTCAACCTCAGAATATCCATTATAGGGTCTTCTATTTTCACTAGTAGTAATCTGAATTAGCATTTCAGTAACAAAAGGAGCAAGGAAATATTGAAATGGAAAGCAGATTCTTAAGTGTCTACAGAAAAATGTGAAGCTTTCAGTTCATTCTGTATTTCCACACTTGCAACCCCAAGGAAGGTTTTCAACATTTTTGCATTTTCTGCATCATTTTCAGGGATTTGAAAGTATATATAAAATATATTAAATATATTAAAATACATTCTTGCTCGAATTCTGTTATTGTAGTTTTAACATTTTCAGAAGCAACTTAGGAACCATCTGTCTGACCTTGTTTATTTATTGTTTGTCCCCCCTTAAATTAAAATTATGGTCATTCCAGGAAGACCAGAGATATTGGTAGTTGTGCTTAGTTCTTAGAATAATAGCTAAATATTTTATTTACCATAGATATAAGCCATGAAAGATAGATAGTTGAAAAATCTTTGCAAGGTAACCATGTCTTCTTGTGGAAGTATGTAAAGAAATAATAATAATAAAGGGGACACAGAGACAAGGTGCAGAGGCAGGAAAGTGGCAGAGTGTCATGTAACTCCAGACTAAGAATAAATCTTTTAAACATTTCATCCTACTCCTTTACTAGACCTTTTATCAGGACATGGATAGCTAGGAAAGATGATTGCAATAACCTCTCCAAAGAAGAGAAGACATGAAGAGAGAAGTAGTTGAATGCTGATAGGGCTTGTTCTATATCATACATAAGATTTCTTGTAGTTCTAAAGCCAACTCCAGAGTATCCACACTTTAGAAAATGATAGTTGACTCTTTGTGTGGAGTTGATAGTCTGGAGTTTTGTGACTCAGGATAGTCCGTGCAAGATGAGAGTTTGCCATATAAGATTTGAAAGGACATCTATCTCTTCTCCCTCCCTGTTTTGACACTCCCCATCCTCACCAAGGAATGTCTTCATTAAACCTGGTGCTCACAATAGTTCTTTTTGTGAATTCAGAGACTTTAAAACAAAATTTTCCACTTTCCCCAGAAAAAGAGAAAGTAGAACTTCATCTTGCTAGAGTGAATGAGAAAAAAATATCTTAATTGAAACTCCCAATTACTAAATCACAACTGAGACAAAAGACTAGGCCATTCTAATACAAATATTCATATTACAAGAGACATAACAGATGACCCTACATTGAAAGCCAAATGTGCCCCACAGTAAACAATATCCTCTAGAACGATTTTAACCTAATGTGGCCATGGATATATACTGTGCTGGTATCAAGTCATTGTTAACGAGAAATAAGAGCTTCAGGAAGACTTCCACTTCTGACCAAGAAAACCCCGATTTATTCTGCCACCTGAAAAAGCAAAAAGTGAAACAAAACAAAACAAAAGATCAACCGACAATCCCTACCCCCAAAAAATTCTAAACATGAAACAAGGGTTTTCAAGATATTGGGCATCAGGCAATTAATGACTGGGATCCCTGAGAGATGAGAAACCTGGTGATCCCTACAACTTTCCTGGCTGACTGCAAGGAGAACCATTTCAGGCCATGGGGCAGGGTAGGGGAACCCAAGCCAACTTCCTGAACTGAAGAAGCAGAATGGCAGTCATGAATTTTACATTTTCATTAACTACATTAAATGTAAATGGCTTGAACAATCCATTCAAAAGGGAGAGATTGGCAGAAAGGATATAAAGAACACCATACAAGCATATGCTACCTAGAAGATAAACATTTAAGATGTGAAGACCTAAGCAGATTGAAATTAAATGGACAAAAGAAGATGTATCACAAAAACAGAGAAAAATGGAGCTAGAATGGCTATATGAATAACAAATAGAGTTTGGAGACAGAAAGTGCTAGTGGAAATAAGACTTTTTATAAGGATGAAAGGCTGACTTCAA